CTTAAACGAACCCGTAACCATAAATCACAGGTAACGTCCACGTATGACGTTGTGATATCGTCAGTAATTACACTGCGCCACAGACAATCATGAGGTTGGCAAATTTTTCGGTTGGTAGAAAAAAGCCCAAAAGAGGGAGTTCCCGGGTCAACATTTTTTAGGGTCCATTTTATGTAGCTTAGCCATACACAAAAGGCCTCAAATATTTTTCTCTATACTCCACAAAAGTTACATGAAAAATCATTTGTACAAAATATGTATCAGGTTGGTCTACATTGTGATATAGCCCCTTTTTAATTCCTTAAATGTTGTTAATTCGAGTTTTTAGAAAGAACAAACCATTCTTTCAAATAATTATAAGTATAAGACAAGACCACGCTGTGGTATAACCCTTATATGAAGGAATCCGTTAATTTCAACTATTTATAGAAACTTGGTCACAATTTCAATTGATTTTGCCCTTATTTGGCATCTTGGTTTCTAAGGAGTAGCGCCCATATAAAGGTACCTCCTGATTTTACCTATTTCGAGGGTTTTTATCATACTTTCGAATCGATTTGGCTTAAAATGTGTGTTTAGGCTACTTTGGTAGAGAACCATCTTGCATGGAACCATTATAAACAGTTGATGTATACTGTTTAATATATGTGCTATATTATTTGGGTTTCCAACTCTCAAATTAAAACCTCTGGCTGAAAAATAGGATCAGGTTTTTTGAACCACTATATATCGCCCGGTAAGTGAACCTATATTCACACTTTTGAAATGCATATTTATTTCTCTTTAGTCGAGTCATCATTTATACTAAAAACTGTGTCATTTATATGAGCCAGATCTGTGAATTATTATGCTTTAAAAACTATGCTTTAAAGAGTTCATTGAGTTCAGTGAGCCTATCAAAGCAAACGGACGTGTCTCAAAAAACCGCGCATCGCAGCTATTTTTCCTTAACGTTTTTCTTTCAACCAATTTGTTGTTATAAAAAAAACAAGAATGCAAAATAAAAAAATGGACTCGTTACAAGTGCCAACAAATGTGTGCAATAAATTCAATGCTCCCATAACGTCGGAGCATAGACAAATTAGGTATAGACTAAAAACTTGTCTCATCTGTTATCTTCGAAAAAAAGTGCTTCAATAGATGTCGTTCATGCTGTGAGAGAGGTTCAGTAGACTCACTCAATTCTCTCACTATACAAAGTAATGAATATTTTTATGATTCTTTATTATTTATCAATTAAAAACGAAACAGTGACTTTGTTCATTTTTACATTATCCAAATATGTCGTGAAATATAAAAATATAGAACTTAAATAGCAGAAAAATGAATAAATTGTTTTCGAAGTCGAGTGACTTCACTAGCCCTGAGTGACTTGACTGGCCCAAGATCAATCATAGTGACATCTGCCGGAAGGGGTAAATTTTAAAACTTTTTAGTCTATACCTTAATTTGTCTATGGTCGGAGAACAATGTTTGGTGTCGCCACTGCGATAAAAAATACAATTTCTCTACTTGTTCTGTGCTCTCCGAATCTAGCTTCAAAACTATGAGCACGAACCGCTTTAAACATCACCAACAACAGCAATGCTTCAAAAACCGATGTGGAATATCACAACAACAGCGATATGCACTATGCTGAGATGAGGTCGGACATGGCAGAGCTCAAAACAACAATGCAGCAAATGTTAGGCAATATGACGGAGAGTATAAACACCAGTCTCAGTAAAATAAATGACACACTATCCAATATTTCATCTCAGGTCAATGAACTGCAAAGAAAGATGAAGGGAAGAGTAATCAGATAACTGAGATGGACAAAAGAATAAATGTACTGGAGCAGAAGACAATACAGAGAAACATCGAAATCAATTGTTCTTATGCTGCCAATATGAATATGGAAGCTGCTTCGGTAGTAAAGAAAATTGCTGCTTCAGTGGGCGTCGAAATTAATGATGTTCATATAGAAAACGCTTATTTTGTGAAATCGAGAAGTAAAAAAATAGTGGAGCTCTCATCAGTAAATAAAAAGAAAGAGTTGATGGCGAATTTAAAGAGACATAGGGTAGATGAAAATGTTCTCAATGACAGTACTGTGCCCACAAATAGATACATCTATGTAAATGATGAATTAACGCCGACTTACAGGCGATTGTTGTGGTTGACTAGAACTAAGGCTAAAGAAAGTGCCTGGAAATTTGTTTGGGTCAAAAATGGTCATTTCTTTGCTCGAAGAAAGACAAATTCACATCAAATTGTAATCAATAACGCTGCTGATATTGAATTAATTACAAGATCGAAGTAAAAATATCTTTCTTGCTCAGTTTTTTCGGTCTCTAATACGAAAATTTTCAATATTTTCAATCAGATAAACGTAAACTAAAACATAATCGTTTACATAATTTGCGAAATCAAATATTAATATAAACAAGTAAGCAAAGGCTACAGTCGAGCGGGGCCGACCGTTGAATACCCTACAACACTATAATAAACGATACAGTTTACATAGGCGAGATACTCGAAAGAATATTGTAACAAATCCACAAGATATTGTAACAAATAATAAAAGAAAACCATCAGGTTTCGTTCTCTAATTTTCGAATAATAGCAACTTTAACTAATTTGCTCATTTCCAATTTATTGGAAGATGTTGTACGTAAATGGTCTTCCTAGATCTGGAACCAATATTTCCCAAAGACTTATAATCTCTCAGAAGTGGCAGAAGATTAACATTTATTATTGGTTTTTGACTTAAACGCATCTATATGAGATACAGACATTTGACTATATTCTTCAACGAAATCAGCGTTAACGAAATAGTCAGAAGTGTGTCTTTCCTGTATTTGTGAATTCTCCAAAAAGTCACTGGAATGGTCATTTTCGTATTTTGTCTACAAAAGTTGGCAAACTATTTCACACATTGAATATTTTTGGATGGCCATCCAAAACTGCTTGGCTTTTGCAATGCCCGGTAACCCCCATTCAAATGTGCGTGAGGATCGGGCAATAATTACGACCTGCTGACAATTTTGCAGTTTTTTTGGTCCATTTCAACCCCTAAATATATGGCGATCATCTCCAAAAAGAGAAGGCTTCTATTCTGACCCTCATCTGATCCCCATGCAAAATTTCGTTAGCATCGGGCCATAAATGCGATCTGTATATGATGTCCTGATATCCTAACTACTTAGTTTTGTTAGCTGTAGAAATATTACCAAATGTTTAATTCAAAATGAAAATATGCCAAAAATGTGACAAAATTAAAAATAATATGAGAAAATTTTACAAAATCAATATTTTCATCTTTAGAGATATTTTTATGCGATTTTTCTGAATTAATGAGAACTGTCGAAATCAGTTCAGCCGTTCTCGACATATAAGAGATCTTTCAAGCATATCTTCTTTGATAGACATATATATCGCACATATTTTGCTATATATCCGTTTTGTTGGATGTTAACATCAATGTAAAGATCAGAAGTAACCTTGTCATGACTTTGTGATTTTGCCGGGATTTAAAATATTCGCGGTTTAATGAAAAATTTTGAATTTTTTCAACACAAAAGATATGGCCTATATGGAATATCATCCCAAATATGTAGAAAATTTCTGTAATAAGACCCATATACAAAATTGAATAAAATCAGCATTTGAAAATTACAGGCCTATGGCAATACTGCCAATCATAGAGAAGGTATTAGAAGAAATAATTTCTCGAAGACTAAGCAAATTTCTTGAAAAATACAATATTATCAACAGAAACCAATATGGCTTCCAAATTCCAGCTATCGGGGCACTTTGCTAACGTAATTAACCAAAATTTAAGCGAACAAAAGCAATGCTTAGCGATGTTTATTGATTTTAGCAAAGATTTTGACACGCTCTCGCATGCAAAACTATTGGGTATTCTTGAAAAAAATGGAATACGAGGACATAGCTAGAAATGGTTTGAAAACTACTTACATTGCCGCAGTTTCAGGGTTAAGATAGATAACCATGAAAGCAGTGAATATAGGTCAGCGTATGGAGTACCACAGGGATCCAAGCTTGGACCCATGCTGTTTATTATTTATGCCAACAATATGGTAAAATATCTCAAAGACAGCATAACCTTTTCATATGCCGATGACACTACGATAATAGTAGCAGATAAGTCAATCGAAAGAGTCGAATTAAGAATGCAAAGTGAGATGAATTTGATTATGAAGTGGTGTAATGATAGTAATCAACGCCAATAAAACTTATGCATTTTAGACCAAAACACATTCCAAAAAGAGAAATACCAATTACACAAAAATCATAGCTTGAACGATTATGTGGACACGTGTACATCCAAAATTGAAGTTGTCGACCAATATAAATGTCTTGGCATTATCCTAGATAGACATTTTAAATGGAGACCACAAATTGATAATGTTCGGAATAAGTTGCGCAAATCCTCATATGCCATATACCATCTGAGTTATTGTACACCATATCATGTTGTAAGGCAAGCTTACTTCTCGCTTGTTGAATCATACTTGCGACATGGCATTACAGCATGGGGAAATGCTGCGAACTGTAGAATATTGCAAGCTGCACAAAATAGTATTCTAAAAAATGTATACAAACTATACGAACACCAAATTTATCGCCACTCGACACGTACCAATCTTCGAATCAATTCTTTACTTCTAACCACAATAACAGAAGTTCTACAACAAACAGCCGGTCGAAACCCCTCTCTATTCCAATGTAAACCTCGTAAGGCAAATAGCTGAAATTGTTTTTGTACTGATTCTTTTTTATCTGAGTATATTGCATATTGAGGATCCCATACAACAGAACCGTAATCTAATATAGGTCTGAAAAGAGACTTAAATAACTGTTTTGTTATATATGGATCAGAAAATTCTTTCACTTAATTAATTTAAAGCTAGAAACATTTCGTATTTGAATAATGCAGCCAATTGTTGGTAGTATTATTAAACAATATGAACAAAAAGATAAAAAAATAAACTTACCTATTCTCGAAATATTGAGAAGTGACGTTGTTTTCTAAAATAGTGTCTAGTTTTTTCCTAATGGCCGTCACCCTTACAGTTGAATGCTTAGAGTTATCTCTCTCTATCGAAATATTCCACATATCGGACGACGAGGTTGCACCTAAAATTTTTATTCCTGATTTGACTCGCGCTTTTATTGTAAATGAAGAAATATTCTTTCCCGAAGATTGTAAATATACTGGAACATGGAATTTGGACATCGGGAATAAAGGCTGTTGTGGAAGAAGAATAACCAGACAATCGTCTATTTGGAATTCCTTAAATGGTTCCATCGGAGCAACAAGCGGAACTTGAACAAATGAAGTTAAAGGTTGAATTTGCACTTTGGGCTCGCATAGTTCGGAATTTCTAATTGGTGGCTCGAAGACGCTATAGGAAACTTGAACGAATCTTTGTGGAACTTTTATTGGGGTATTGTTAGCATTTTCTTTGTTTACCAAGGGCGATAATGAATGAAACCAATTGAAAGGTATAACAACCTAAAAAACATAGAAAATTCCATTGTATTAGAGAATAATTAAATGAATCAAACGGTTATACCTCAGCTACACATACTCCGTCTTCCCCATCTGGCATACATCTTCCTTTTATAGGGGCGTGATTTCCGTTTGATACGTGTAGTAGAACACATATTTTCTGACGTTGCAAGTGCCCACCTGGATCAGCTCCTGCATGAAAAAGTACACGCAGCACTGGAGAATCCTGTGATACGTAGGAACTTACTAAATGTGCCGATATGTCCAAATGAAGATTGGTTTGTTGTAACTCGAGTAATGCCGCAGTTGTATTCTAAAAAAACGTTACAATAATAATTTAGGATAAACAATATACGCTTAACAAATACTCTTAGAAATTTACTCTCACATAACAATAAAAAGTTTTTATGGGAGAATTAAATCTTACAAGCTATGATTATAATTATAATTTAAAGTTCAAAGGACTAAATATCACGAAGCATTTCTCTCTTATCAATACGGGCTTGTATTTGGCCACAATTAACTTGACATCGGATTAAGATATATATGGGAGCTATATCCAAATCTGAACCGATCTCGATAAAATTGGCAAAGATATTTCTGAGCTGTATTTGATGTATTTCCCTGAATATCATTATTACGGAGTGCATATTACGGCTGTGGGGAACAAATATGACAAACCGGATGAACAATATATATGTGAGCTATAGCTATATCTGAACCGAAATTTGACATACTAGCTTCTAGACTCAATTCGGTCGTATGTACCAAATTCCATCTCATTTGGGCTAATATTACACGATTGGTGCACAATAATAGGCAAATCGAACGAAGTTATATATTTGAGCTATATCCAAATCTGACCCGATCTAGATAAAATTTAGCAAAATATTTCTGAGCTGTATTTTATATATTTCCCAAATATTGTTGCTACGGAGTGCATATTACGGCTGCGGAGGACAAAAATAACAAATCGGATGACAAAATATATACTGGAGCGCTATAGCTATATCTGAACCGATTTCATCAAATTGAACAAACTTATTTTCAGGCCTAATTTGGTCGTATGTGCAAAATTCCAAGCTATTTGGGCTGATATTACACATTTGCTGCACGAAAAAGACAAATTGGACGAAGATATATGGGAGCTATATCTAAATTTTGACCGATTATCTTCAATTTCAATAGGGCGAAACAAAATATTTGTGTAAAATTCAGCGTTCGAAAATAAACAGTACAAAAACATAGTGTACCGTGCCGGTACAGTATCACTAAAAAATTTTAGCGGTAGTGTACCGGTACACTACCATTTAGTGATACTGTACCGGAACACAAAGATGATCGTAGTGTACCGCAGTCGGAACACTAAAAAATCGTAGTGTACCGGAGTCGGAGCACTAAAAACGTAGTGTTCCGCAATCGAAGCATTAAAAAATCGTAGTGTATCACATGCGCCACATAAAAAATCGAAATCATAAAATGTTATTAAACACTCAGCCATACTTTGTAAAATATTTAGTTTTTTACACCTACATCCATTGATTTTTCGGTAAATTATTTGCACAATAACCCATTACAACACAACCACTAAAATACCCTTTTTCGCGGAAAATTAAAATTTTCAGAAATTTCCACGATATCGTATAGCCCCCATATAACGGTACCCCCGATATTCGGTATTTTGATTATGTTAGCCACATTTTTCAATAGAATTGTCTGAAAATCCACACAAGTAATTCATTGTGGGTACTTTATACCTCGGCAGTGAATTATCTATATAGGTCCACAATATCGTATAGCCTCCATATAACGGTACCCCCCGGTATTTGGCATTTTGATGATTTTAGCCACATTTTTTAACGGAATTGTCTGAAAATCCACACAAGGAGTTCCTTTTGGGTACTTTATACCTCGGCAGAGAATTATCTATATAGGTCCACGATATCGTATAGCCCCCATATAACGGTACCCCCGATATTTGGTATTTTGATTATGTTAGTCACACTTTTAAATGGAATTGTCTTAAAATCCACACAAGTAGTTCCTTGTGAGTACTTTACCCCTTGAGAGAGAATTGGAACACTAAAAAAATCGTAGTGTACCGGAGTCGGAGCACTAAAAAACGTAGTGTTCCGCAATCGAAGCATTAAAAAATCGTAGTGTATCACATGCACCACATAAAAAATCGAAATCATAAAATGTTATTAAACACTCAGCCATACTTTGTAAAATATTTAGTTTTTTACACCTACATCCATTGATTTTTCGGTACCACCAAATAACAGGTAAATTATTTGCACAATAACCCATTACAACACAACCACTAAAATACCCTTTTTCGCGGAAAATTAAAATTTTCAGATTTCAATGGTTAAATACAAAATATTATCACTTAAGATTTGGTCCTTTTTATTGTTTCTACCTGTTCCCATATTTTTTTTTACCCCCGATATTTGGTATTTTGATGATTTTATCCACATTTTTCAATGGAGTTGTCTGAAATTCCACAAAAGGAGTCCCTTGTGGGCATTTTACCCCTTCAAAAAGAATTGTCTATATAGGTCCACGATATCGTATATCCCCCATATAACGGTACCCCCCGATATTCGGTATTTTTATGATTTTATCCACATTTTTATCGGAATTGTCTGAAAATCCACACAAGGAGTTCCTTGTAGGTACTTTATACCTCGACAGAGAATTATCTATATAGGTCCACGATATCGTATAGCCCTTATAAAACGGTACCCCCGATATTCGGTATTTTGATGTTTTTACCCACATTTTTCAACGGAATGGTCACAAGGGGTTCTTTGTGAGCACCTTACCCCCCGACAGAGAATTCTCTATATAGGTTAACGATAACGTATATCACCCATATAACGGTACTCCCCTATATTCGGTATTTTGATGATTTTACCCACATTTTTCAACGGAATTGTCTGATAATCCACACAAGAAGTTCTTTGTGAGTACTTTACTCCCTGAAAGAGAGTTGTCTGTATAGGTCCACGATACCGTATATCCCCCATATAACGGTACCCTCTGATATTCGGTATTTTGATGATTTCAGCCACATTTTTCAACGGAATTGTCTGAAATTCCACACAAGGGGTTCTTTGTGAGCACTTTACCCCCTGACATAGAGTTCTCTATATAGGTTAACGATATCGTATAGCCCCCATATAACGGTACCCCCGTTATTCGGTATTTTGATGATTTTAGCTATATATTCCAATGGTATTCTCTGAAAATCCACACAAGGATTTCTTTGTGAACACTTTAACCCCTGCCCTGAAAGGTATTTGTCTATATAGGTCCACAATATCGTATATCCCCCATATAATGGTACCCCCGATAATCGGGATTTTGATGATTTTAGCCACATTTCCCAATGGAATTATCTGAAAATCCACACAAGGAGTTCCTTGTGAGTACTTTACCCCCAGACATAGATTTGTCTATATAGGTCCACAATAGCGTATATCCCCCATATATCGGGACCTTCCGATATTAGGTATTTTAAAGATTTTAACAGAATTTTCAATGGATTTTATTTTTTTTTTAATATTTTCTAATTCGTTCCAAATGGTGGAGGGTATTCAAAGTTCGGCCCGGCCTTACTTACTGCTTTTTTACTTGTTTAGTGCTCCAACTGCGGTACAGTACGATTTTCGTTGTGTTCCGGCACAGTATCACTAAAATATTTTTTAAGGGTTGTGCTCCGGTACGGTACATTATCTTAGTGTACCACTCCACCTCGGAACGGTGGTAAAATTTCATCTGGATCGGGCAATAAATGCGACCTGTACTTTGTTGACAAAAATACAGGCCGACAGACGGACGGACATACATGAATCGACTCAAAATGTAATTCTATGCAGATCATCAAATAACCTATGGGTCTATCTCGTTTCCTTTTGCATGTTACAAACAAATGCACAAAGACATAATACCCTGACCATCTTGTGGTGTAGGGTATAGAAATAGTAATTAGCATCAACGAAACTAAAATCTACACGCTAGCCGTCAATTTTGCAGTGGAATCTGCAATACCAGATTGACCCCAAACAACAAAATTTTACCTCGTTTCCAGCGGGCCAACGTCGCTCAATGTCATGACCGTGGCCAAAATTAATTAAAGGCATATGCTTCGCAGTATAAATGTATTTATGGGAATCCATAAAAAACACAACAATTAGAAGAAATCTGAATTTTGGTATCGATACGTCAAGTATTGTTTACTATATAAGGACTTAAATCCGACTGATGCACTACATTAGTCGGATTTAATTCCTCATATAGTTCAGATTTCTTCTAATTGTTATGTTTTCTATCGAAACTTATACATATACGGAAAGCAGAACCAAACACCGATTATTAGGTGAGTTTGTTTTATGGACGGAAGTCATAACAACAGTTTCTTTTAATATATTCGATAATATAAACAAGTAAAACACGTTTTATAGATTATTTCTGCTACAGTGGTATATTGTGAGTTTCATGTATCAAAAATGTATCAATTTGAAACAAGTGCGGAAAAAATCATGAAAACTCCCGATATCGGGAATTATCTTTATATAGCGGATATAGAAAAGCGTGAACTTATAAAGACAATGTTCCGTCGACACACGTGGATCCCATTACAGAATATAAATATAGAACTAAAAAAAACTATCAGAAAAAGTTGTTAAAATCATAACAAAACCGAAAGAGGTACCGTCATAATTGGGGTTATAGGAAAGCGTTAACCTATGTTTCAAATGTGAAACGCTACCGTTAAAAAATATGGTTTAAATCCTCAAAACCGTGATATGGAGACTGTAGGAAAAAGTGGATCTATGTAAATAATGTTCTTTCACAGGATGTGGAATCTATTGCCATCTCTAAATACAAAATATGAAACCATTATATCGGAAAATATCGAATATCGGGAGGTACAGTTATATGGGAGCTATACGAAAACCTGGACCTACCTTCATGGTAGTTGGTCCTCGATTTAATACGCCAACAATAAGTACATGTACCAAAATGCATCCACTTTTGCCAAACTTCTTCTATTTTTGGTCACCTTTTATATGAAGTCGCGACATAGCGCTCGTGTGCCGTTAAAAAATTCACACAAAACGACCAAATAAATTTTTTAAATATTTCCGACCAAATTTGGTCTGAAATTACACAACCGGCAACACTGAACGCACTCCATGTATATTCTTTCGTGATTGTTTAGAAACAAATATTACCACCAGGACTTCCCTCTTTGCCGATTTATCGACATTTTCACAATTTTTTACTCTAAAATTGGGAAAAGCC